GGCCCCCTCTCCCTGCCTGCTCCCCACCCCTCCTACCCTCCCGCCACCAGACCCTCGATGACCTGGACCAACGGGTGAAGGAAGCTGGTTTGGAGATCACCTTCCGCCAGAGCTTCTTCTCCGACCCTGCCGCGCCCGTGCGCAACCTCAAGGTGAGTCCACCTCACCCGCGCCCCAGTCCTCGTCCCCACCAAGTCCTCCCCCTTCCCCCGCATCCATAAGCGTCGGGGTGCAGGTGGAGCCACCTCCTGCACCCCAAAGGGAGCGGAGACACCCCAAGATGCCCAAGCATCCAAGTCAACGATGCATCTCCTCCGCCCCATAGATGGGTAGCGATGGCCATGACTTGGCCATGCAACGCCAAGGTTCTGGTCCTCCTCATCACCCTTGTGCAAAGTTATGCAAATGAGGATAGGTGGGGTTGACCCTCTAGGAGCGAAGGGGAGCAGAAGTCCCACCCCAGGGTGACTTGTCTCCCTGCAGCGCCAGGACGCCCGTATCATTGTGGGGCTCTTCTACGAGACGGAGGCGCGTAAGGTCTTCTGCGAGGTGAGGGGTGGGAAGGTGTGGGTGGGCACTGTGGGAGGATGGGACCATGGGTGGCATCCAGTGGAGAAGGATGGGTGGACATCAGGTGGATGTGGGGCAGTTGGGAGGGTAGGGAGATGGATGGTGGGATGGAGCAAAGGGTGGTGGGACGTGTGGGTCCGTGGGCAGCAAGATGTTAGGATGGATGAGTGGAAGCATGGGTAGATGTGAGTGCGGTAGAACGGATGGATGGATGGATGGATGGATGGATGGATGGATGGATGGATGGATGGATGGGCGAGCAGGTAGGTGATATGGTGAGAAGGGAAAAGGACAATTGGAGGCACAGGGTGACGAGTGGATGGGCAGGTGGGATGGTGGGAAGGTTGAGCAGAAGCACGGGGTGAAGAGTGGATGGACAGAGGTCTGTCTAGACGGACAGGATGGGGAGAAGGATGCTAGATGAGTGAAGGATGACTGGATGGGGTGGGGTGAAGAGCGATGGACGGAAGTATGGTGGGAAGGATGCGGTGAAGGACAAGGCCACTGCTCCTTGGCCCATGCAGGTCTACAAGGAGAAGCTGTACGGCAAGAAGTACGTCTGGTTCCTCATCGGCTGGTACGCCGACAACTGGTTCCGTATCAAGGATCCGGCCATCAACTGCACCGAGGCGGAGATGGCCGAGGCCGTGGAAGGACACGTCACCACTGAGATCGTCATGCTCAACCCTGAGAACACCCGCAGCATCTCCAACATGGTATGGGGAGGATGGGGGGACATGGCACTCCCAGAGAGTCCACTCCATCCCACCCACCATGTCACCACCATCTCGTTCCCCACCCCAGACGTCCCAGGAGTTCATCGAGAAGCTGCAGAAGCGGCTGGGCAAGAACCCTGAGGAGACAGGCGGCTTCCAGGAGGCTCCACTGGCCTACGATGCCATCTGGGCGCTGGCCCTGGCCCTCAACAAGACCTCGGCGGAGCTGGTCAAGAAGGGGTTGCGCCTGGAGGACTTCAACTACAACAACAAGAACATCACCGATGAGATCTACCGGGCCCTCAACTCCTCCGCCTTTGAGGGCGTCTCGGTGCGTTGCCCACAGCCCAGCCAGTCCCCGACCCCAGCGTGTCCTCTTCTCCCCAACAAGGTCTCCCACGCCACCAACTCCTCCACCTTCAAGGTGGTGGTGGAGGTGCCCTGAAGACACTCGTGAAAGGTGCCCTCATGAGGCACCCCAAAAACTCTCAGAGAAAACGTTCTCCCAACACCCTCCTGGGGACGTGGTCCTGCCACCCGACACGTCCTCGACACCCGTCTCCATTCCACCCCACAGGGACACGTTGTCTTCGACGCCAGCGGCTCCCGCATGGCCTGGACGCTCATTGAGCAGCTTCAAGGTGAGTGAGCGTAGGCAGCAGCCATATCGGGGTGACGCTGTCTCCGTGTTGGACATGGTGACCACCACCGAGCATCCCGCAACCCCCCCTCATGCCCAACAGCCACGGCTCGGCATTGCGGCCCTGTTGTCTCCACAACATCACACAACCACCCTGAGACACAACAAGTCCCACCACTGCGCAACCTCTCAAGACGGGGGTGACAATGCACAGGGGACATCCCTCTTCTCCGCACCCTTTTGGACAACACGTGTCCAACAGGACGTGTGTCCTCACCAACACACAACTGCTCTTGCATGTGACGGAGGGAGGTTCGGAGGTGGAGGAGGTCTGGAGGACAACCAAGGAGCTTGGGACAAGAAAGAATGAGAAAGTCATCAAGAGTAGTCAGCATGGATTCACCAAGAGGTCGTCCTTGACCAGCTTGACCATCTTCTATTGGCTTGGTAGACAAGGGAAGAGCAGAGGACGTTGCCTACCTTGGCTTCAGGAAGCCTTTTGACATTGTTGTCTCCCAGAAGATCCTCACAGGGAAGATGATGAAGTCTGGGCTGGACAAGCACACCGTGGGGGTGGACTGAAAACCGGCTGAACGGCCAGGTCCAGGGGGTGGGGATCAACAGCAGAAGGTCCAATTGGAGGCCAAGTCACCAGCAGTGCACCCCAGAGGTCAATACTGGGTCCGGTCCTGGTCAACGTCTCCATCAACGACCTGGGTGATGAGGCAGAGAGTACCCTTGGCCGCTTTGCTGGTGACACCAAACTGGGAGGAGCAGCTGAGATGCCAGAGGTTCGTGCTCCCATCCAATAGGACCTTGACAGGCTGGAGAAGTGCGCTGAGAGGAACCTCATGAGGTTTAACAAGAGAAAGTGCTCCAGGAACAACTCCAGGCACCGGGAGAGGCTGGGGGTCAACCAGCTTTGTGGAGAAGGCCCTGGGGGTCCTGGTGGATGCCAAGCTGACTGAGCCAGTGACGTGGCCTTGGGGCAAAAGTGGCCAACGGTGTCCTGGGCTGCATTAGGAGTGGTGGAGCAGGTCGAGGAGGCGATGCTTCCTGGAGAGCTGGGGCCAGTACTGGGCTCCCCAGTACAAGAGAGGTACTGGAGAGCATCCAGCAAAAGGCCATGAAAATGGTGAAGGGACTGGAGGGCAGGAGGCTCCAGCTGAACATCAGGAACCGCTTTTTCATGGTGCAGGTGACGAAGCACTGGCTGAAGGTGCCCAGAGAGGTGATGGGGTCTCCATCCTTGGAGACCTTCAAACGCTGCATAGACGTGGTCATGGACAATGGGCTCTGGGTGGTCCTGCTTGAGCAAGGGGTTGGACTAGATGACCCCCAGAGGTCTTTTCCAACCCCCAACCAGGCTGTGACCTTGTGGGGCTGTGCACAAACGCTGAAGGGCTGTTGTGCCTCCTCCCCTCCAACCTGACCCATCTCTGCTGCCCTTGCAGGAGGTGTCTACAAGAAGATCGGCTACTACGACAGCACCAAGGACAACCTGTCCTGGTACAACAACGACAAGTGGATTGGTGAGCAGCGCCGCACGTGGGGCGTGAGCAGGGGGTTCCTTCCCATGGGGAAGGGTTGGAGAGACCCCCTCCACGCCCCCTAATTGGGCCGTGGGCTCTGCAGGAGGTGCCCCACCAGCCGACTACACCAAGGTCATCACCACCTTCCGATTCCTGTCCCAGAAGCTCTTCATCTCTGTCTCAGTGCTGGCCTCGTTGGGCATCCTCCTGGCCATCATCTGCCTGGCCTTCAACATCTACAACGGGCACGTCCGGTCAGTGACCCCCTCCTCGTTTTCCTGGCGTTTGGGGAAATATCAGACCTTTCCTTTTCCATGGGGTGAGCAACACCCGGAGGAGGATGGAAAGAAGGGGACTGCATGGTCCCATGTCCTCCTCCAGAAGATGACAGCATCAAAGGGTTGTTTGTAGGAGATATCCCCGTTGCCTGTCTCATGGTGTAGGAGCTTGGGGTGGTCTCAAGGGTCTGGTTGTAGCAACACCCAGAGGGGAAAAAAGGGACTGCATGGTCCCATGTCCTCCTCCAGAAGATGACAGCATCAAAGGGTTGTTTGTAGGAGATATCCCCGTTGCCTGTCTCATGGTGTAGGAGCTTGGGGTGGTCTCAAGGGTCTGGTTGTAGCAACACCCAGAGGGGAAAAAAGGGATTGCTGGTCCCATGTCCTCCTCCAGAAGATGACAGCATCAAAGGGTTGTTTGTAGGAGATATCCCAGTTGCCCGTCTCATGGTGTAGGAGCTTCAGGTGGTCTCAAGGGTCCGGTTTAGCAACACCCAGAGGAGGAAGGATAAAAGGGGACTGCATGGTCTCATGTCCTCCTCCAGAAGATGACAGCATCAAAGGGTTGTTGGAAATAGGGATTGTGTGGTCCCATGTCCTCCTCCAGAAGATGACAGCATCAAAGGGTTGTTTGTAGGAGATATGCCGGTTGCCCATCTCATGGTGTAGGAGCTTGGGGTGGTCTCAAAGGTCCGGTTGTAGCGTGTGGTTTCCTGTTATCTCACCTCGTGCCCCCTTTCTCGCGTCCCGTCACACACCACCGAGCGCAGTGGCCGGGTGACAAGGCCACCTCCTCCACCACCCCTCCCCAGGTACATCCAGAACTCGCAGCCGTACCTGAACGAGGAACCATTGGAGATACAACCAGGGGATGGGGACAGCTGGAGGAGGAACCGTTGGAGATACAGCCAGGGGATGAGGGCAAGCAAAGGAGGAACAGTTGGAGATACAGCCAGGGGATGAAGACAAGCAGAGGAGAAACAGTGGGGATACAGCCAGGCGATGGAGACAAGCAGAGATGGAGCTGTTGGAGACAGAGCCAGGGGATGGAATTGGAGATACAACCAGGGGATGGGGACAGCTGGAGGAGGAACCGTTGGAGATACAGCCAGGGGATGAGGGCAAGCAAAGGAGGAACAGTTGGAGATACAGCCAGGGGATGAAGACAAGCAGAGGAGAAACAGTGGGGATACAGCCAGGCGATGGAGACAAGCAGAGATGGAGCTGTTGGAGACAGAGCCAGGGGATGGAGACAGCTGGAGGAGGAACAGTCAGGAGCAGAGCCATGGACTTCCAAAGGAGCTGGTCGTGGAGGTCCATGGGAAGGGGGTACGCTCCACGGGGGTGGAGCGGAGGTGGGTACAGCTGGACGGGGAGGTACAGTTGTCTCTTCCCACCCCACGGAACCTCCCCAGGCCCGACTGTGGCTCCTCGGGTTGGGGTTCAGCCTGGCGTACGGCAGCATGTTCACCAAGATCTGGTGGGTCCACACCGTCTTCACCAAGAAGGAGGAGAAGAAGGAGAAGAGGAAGGTGAGAGGTGACCCAGTAGGGCGTGAGGGGACGGAGGGGGACACGCACGGGGTCTTGGTGACACTGTGTTGTCCCCACACCCAGACCCTGGAGCCTTGGAAGCTGTATGCCACCGTGGGGCTGCTTGTGGGCCTGGACGTGGTCACGCTGATCATCTGGCAGATCGTGGACCCCCTGCACCGCACCATCGAGGTGGGGCATGGCTAAGGGACTGTTCTTCACATTGGGGGGATGCTCATGGTGTTGGGGTGCTGCTGGGGGTTGTTTATGGTGTTGGGGTGCTGCTGAGGGGATGTTCTTGACATTGGGGGGATCCTCAAGGTGTTGGGGTGCTGCTGAGGTGATGTTCTTGACATTGGGGGATCCTCAAGGTGTTGGGGGGATCCTCATGGTAGTGGGGTGCTGCTGGGGGGATCCTCAAGGTGTTGGGGTGCTGCTGAGGTGATGTTCTTGACATTGGGGGATCCTCAAGGTGTTGGGGTGGTGCTGGGGTGTTGTTTATGGTGTTGGGGTGCTGCTGAGGGGATGTTCTTGACATTGGGGGATCTTCAAGGTGTTGGGGTGGTGCTGAGGGGAGGGTCATGGTGTTGGGGTGCTGCTGGGGGGTTATTGATGGTGTTGGGGTGCTGCTGATGGGATGTTCTTGACATTAGGGACATCCTCAAGGTGTTGGGGTGCCGCTGGGTGGATGCTCTTGACATTGAGGGGATGCTCATGGTGTTGGGGTGCTGCGGGGGGGATGTTCATGGTGTTGGGGTGCTGTTGGGGGGACCCTGCAGAAAAGGGTCCCCCCACCCCCACATACCCTCACACCCCATCTCCCGCCCCATCACCCC